AGTATAGCGAGGAAGACGGTAGAAGACACTTTTCTTTGATCTCCACCTGGAGGCAATTACCAACAAAAAAAAAGAACTATGATTCAAGCAACTAGATAAACAATTGCTCCATATTTTACTATTTAATCTAGTTGATATCACCAGATTTCTGTATAAACTAACCATATTGTTTTTTTCATGTACATGTTTTGTTGCCAGTCATATTTTCTTCATAATGCTCAAGAGAGATGGAATGATTAATCATTTGTAGCTGTTATGTTGCTGTCATCTGGCCTACAACATAACATACAGCTATTGCCAATGTTTGTTTATAAAATTTCTTCAAATGATTGCATGCATAAGCAATAATATTGCTGCATTTGTAACATTTTGATGTTAGCAAATGTATGCCGAATATAAGATATGAATTACAAAAAAATAATGAAAATATCGAAATAGAGAATATGAAAAACTAATTTATCAAAAACCTTAAGATTATAATTAATTATCTCGAAAATAAGGATGCTCACCCTGATCATTTATGTTGACTCCGAGGAGGACTCAAAAGTGAGCCGAAACATGTAAGCGCGTTTTAATGAATAAAGATTTCACAGATATATTATTTTACAGATATATTATTCATAGATATATTATTTGCGCGACGTCTTCTACGCTTGACTCCTACTGCCCGTATCCTTTCCAGTTTGATTTATAAGGAGTCTTGGTTAATTTGATTTGTAATACTTTGATTTAAGGTAATTCATACAATGTATCAGTTTATGCTTAATATGCTAAATCACGCTTGATTATCTGGATCCTTTACCGCAAAAAAAGTTAAAAATCGCCAAAAATGCCATTTTTTGTCCATTTCACATGCATGGTAAATTCTGATAATAGTAATGCATTAAGCGCAAAAAAATCTTCAGGAAACGTATTACCGCATTTCTAAAAAATTTTTCTTGTAGCATTGTGATATTATGTACCTGCATTAAAGTCATGAAGAAGGTCAAAACTGCACTATACATCTAAAAAAATATATTATTATACTTTCATTATACTTAATAAAAATATTTGTGTTATATTATTTATAAGAATAAAAGAAGATTTTTATACATAAAATAATCATGAAAGATAAACAAATGCAGTTAATTGAGAAGTGATTCCAATGTAATGTTGCCATTTAGATATTTATGTAATTTGCAGGATTGAATGTAGAAGTGTTTGTTCTTTTATGTATGCACACTTTTATTACATGATTACAATTTTATTTAATATAGGACATACCAGGCAAATGAACTTATATCCATAGTAGAAATATCCCACGCCAAATTTTACCTCCTTGTATTTATTTGCAATATATTGGGAGTATAAATAAGTTTCCGCCGTTTGACAAACAATGGCGCTACCAGTATGTTATAGTTAAAATTGTCAGCTGTAAAACGTCATATCGTAAGGTTGGACATCTGGCAAGAACACATTGAAATATTAGTGATTTTGCATCAGCATCTTATATCTTTTTTCGTGCGAAAATGTCGAGTTTTGAGCCGAATAAGCATCATTTGCGGGAGCTTTTGATTTACTTCTTTAATTTGAAGAAATCTGCACTTGCATCTTGTTTACCCCAAAAAAGGACCTCATTTGTGCTCAATTGCACCGTGTAAAATTTATTCTTTTAATAATACAACTTATGTTGCACTGTAAATAATTGTTCATTCGACTAAATTCTTCCAAATGTTTTTATTTCTCTTAATAAAAAATGTAGGTACTTAAATCACAAAGAACATGTTAGTTAAAATATATACATAGCCCAAATAAAGAGATATGGAAATTTAACAGTCAAATAAAAAGTTCTTTTTCAATGAAAGTTTAAATACAGCTCAAATGCATTAACTGATTCCAACTGTATGGTATTATACAAAGAGACTTTTGCTGAATACACAAAATCTAATCTCTCTTTTGTTGGATCTGCAAAATTTTATGTGGAAAGTCAAAAGTAATGCAGCAAAAATTTCTAACACTCAACTGACCGTCCTACAAAATTATTTTGATAGTCTAACAAATTTATTCTCAGATCTGTCAGCTAACTTTTTAAATCCTTCAGTAAAATTATTCTCTCCGTGTACATATTAAAAATAAACAAAATAAGCCATAATCTTGGATTAATAACAAAATATAGATTAATAATTAAACATGTATATATATATATATATATATATATACATATATATATATATATATATAATAGTATATCATCTTAATCTTTCAATTATATCGCGTTATATTACACATTCACACAAAGCTTATTATAAATTGTCGACTTCAAACCAATTTCTTTTTTAAAATAAACAATACATTTCAAATTTCCATTGGATTGTTCAAAACGTTAACGATTTCACGAAATTATGTTTATCTATTACTATTGACTTTTATGACCGCTTTGATTCTATAATTTCTTAAACCAATGTTTTCTTGTTACATTTGAGAAAGCATCGACAAAGTGTGCCATATCGTTATTCATATAGGTCATATACGACGGCAAAGACGGGTCTGTGACGGTGACGTGATAAAGAAATTAAATTCAGCAATCAAGCTATATTTTTGCAATAATTAGTAAGTACATGACACAAATACTTGACTTGTAAGCACACACGCGACATAATATCTTTATTATTTTAAATTAAATGACTACGAGACGAGCAAAGTCGTCTAAATATAGTGAAACATTTAACAATTTTATAAAATAGTAAATATAATACAATAATGCATGTTAGCTCACAAAATTATCATTAATTCATGATTAAACATATAAAAGAAAAAAAAATATTATGAATTATAATTTTAAGTAAAATTCAAAATGAATACAATTCTGAATAAATAAAAGCTAAAGAAGCCAGGCTAGATCTATTATGTTTTAATACATAATAAAACATTTTTTTAATATTCCAAATTCGATCATTTCGCTATAATCTTTTTCAATGGTGTATGTAACTTTACAATTTTAATAAATGGTAGTAACAGTTAATATGGAGTGTGTGTGTGTGTGTGTGTGTGTGTGTGTGTGTGTGTGTGTGTGT